GGAAAAAAATTGTAGTAATGGATTTCAATAATGTCTTAAGAAAAATGAAAGTTAATATTAATTTTCAAACTGATTTTGCTATGTGTGAATGTGCGATCAACTGAGTAATCTTTCATTGTAACTTTATTAATTTAACGGTATTTTATGTAAATATAACAAGACATGTGAATTGTCGACACGCGCGGTCAGTGCACCATTTTAATTACGCATGCGTAGTACCCATATCCGTTCTCTTGACGGATGGCGTTATATATGACTTCACAACCGTTTGATGACATTACAATACGATAAAGACTTTCTTCCCCGCCATAGGTACGACTTGAACTGTTCCCATATACTACCAACGTGATGTTTGCTTGTTATTGGACTCATTTATTTTGTTATCAAAGTTCAAAGTTCAATTAAAACAACTGTTCATATCACTTTCTATAGGATTGCCATAGCGACAGGACAAAATAAGGACTAATATAAATGACGTCAAATACATATTTCCGCAAATCTGCAGAAAAAAAGATCAGTTTACCTTCATATCGTGTAAAAAAAAATCATCGACATTTTTGCTATTTTATGCTATGAAATTTCTCTAGTCTTAAAGTTCGTATTTTAAAAATGGCCACAAGAATTTCATTGAACACTCGAAGGATTTAAAACTGCAATGAGCGAAAAGAGATATATCACGACACGGTATATACTTCTTATAACATATCACAGTTCACACTCGTAAACTAATATGGGAATGCATTTGCTAGGCATTCAATATTCAACAGAATTATCTAGAAAAATAAATAAAGAATGTGTCCATGGGACACAAACGATGTCACCGCTTGCAAAGATGGAAGGATATAACACAATACGGTGGCCATGCTGTATATAACGCATTTGATTTTAATTGCACGTTCAGTAATGAAGGTTGTTTTGCAATGTCTCATAAAGAGACATAACTTAATAATGGTAAAAGTGACGCAGCCCAAATTCGAACTTAAGTTGAGTTTTATAGTTATAAGCATTGTGTCATGATAAGTTTCAAAACAATTGGTGAAGGCAAACTTAAGTTAGAGAACGGAAACGAAAAATTCGGCAATTTTTCCATTTGTAAATGGGCATAACTCTAGAACGGTAAAAATGACGCAACCAAAATTCGAACTTGATCTGTGTTTTGTAATAATAAGCATTATGTATAAGTTTCATATTATTTGGCTGAGGCAAGCTAAAGTTAGAGAACGGAAACCAATTTTGCGACGTACGTACGTACGGACAAGGGTAACACTAAAATTTACCCTCCGATGACGTCGGCGTCATAAAAAAGATGTTCAACTTCTTTTCATACCATATGGGATCCTAGAAAATATGCATGAAAGCATTATATTCAAGTCAATATATATAATTTGTCGAAATATTTGACAAACTTGAGGTGGATTATTTATACGGCTTATATTTGATGCAACTGCCTCTTTTGATTCAGTGTCGGAGGGATACGTGTGTTCGATGTCTTGTAACATTGTATATATACTAGTATATATATATATATATATATATATATATAAAGAAAAGTCAAATAGAATCCGTATGCTGGTAACATATAAGAAAAATAATATAAGATAATGACGGTTTCAATTCATCACTTTTACTAGCGCTTTCACTGCTTTCACAGATCTTCAGGTAATGTGACTTGTATACATAAATGTTATAAAACAATTGATTGACGTTAACAATAGTATGACGTTAACAAATACAAGGGAGACTACTAATGTCATTTTAAAATTGGAGTAAAGTCTTTAAAATGTTTCGTAAAAATTAAAATATTATTTATCATTTTAATCCCGGGTTGAGAATGTTTATGATTAATTCTTCTTTCTTCTTCCGGAGAAAATCATTTTGACGATTGACCATATACAACGGAAATATTTTAAATCGTCCATTAGAACAACGATGAAAATGGTCGTTAGCCCTGATGAATGTTAAATCTTCATGGTTGGTTTGCTGTCTATGTACAGTCATTCTAGTCCGCAGTTCTGTTTTTGTCTCTCCAATATAGAATTCCTCACAATTTGCACATATGAGAGAATAAATGACGTTTGAACTTTTACAAGACATATTTTGTTTAACTGTGAAATGCTTTCCATTTTTGAAATAGATTGAACTTTCTTCTATTAAATCTGGACATGTCATACATCGTTTATCGGTATATTTTCTAACAATAGGCAAAGTTTCATTAAAGTCGAATTTTGAAGATGTTAAATATCGTTTTAGACTTATTGACTGTCTTTTACTGTTGATAATCTTCTTTTTTTGTAATACTTTGTCCATTTTTTCACTTTTGTGTAAATTATTTTCAATTTGTCGCATGAAACTAAATATATCATAATCTCGTGGGTTATATGTTGTGACAAACGGGATAATTTTGTCTAAACTGTTTGATGATTCTTCGGTTGTTTCGGATCACCGTGATTCTGTAATGATTGGTCCTTTTATCAGTGCCCTTTGAATTCCGTTATCTATCACTTGTTCCGGATATTGCTGCTTTTTTAAATACACTTTTAATTCTTCCAATCTTTTATTGCGTAATAGTTCTGTACTTGTAATGGTAATTATTCTTGATGCTAGATTAAAAGGTATATTTAATTTTACATGTTTTGGATGATTTGAGTAAAAATTTAAATACATATGTGTATCGGTGTCTTTAGAAAAGATATCTGTGACAATTTCATTGTCTTCCGTTATAAGTACTAAAATATCCAAAAACGGCATTTTGTTGACATTTCTGTGTGAAACGAATATGTGGGTTTAAAGAATTTAAATCAGAATGAAAATCTGAAACAGATATATCCGAATTCCAAATTATAAAACAATCGTCAAGAAATCGTTTCCAGTTTTGACGTAGGTAAATGGCAAAGTCATTTCCGTATTTATGGTCCATTTTTTCGTATAATAATTGTTCCAAATATCCAAGTACTAAAGTGGCGTATGAAGGCGCCATTTTAGTACCCATAGCTGTTCCTTTTTTCTGATGATAGTATGTGCCGTCAAAGTAAACACTATTTCTTTCTAATATAAGTTTCAAAGATGCAAGGATACATTCTTTTGTTAGTCTGTTTTCAATGACGTTTTCCGTATTTTCTAACCAATATTTTACGGCTGTAATTCCTTAGTCATGTGGGATATTTGTGTAAAGACTGACAATATCAAAAGTAATGAGTTCTGAATTAGGATTTACAGTTGTTGGTAGATGATTTAAAAATTCCAAATCGTCTCGTATAAAACTAGGAACTTCACGACATAAAGGTTTAATCACAATGTCTATAAAATGGCTTAAATTCTGTGTGACGCTGTTGGGTCCGCCCACAATAGGTCGAAATTTTAAATCATTTGGTCTTAAAAGTTCTCTGTATTCACTGTTTTGTTCTGATGCCGCATTTGAAATTTCCTCACTTTTGTGAATTTTAGGTAAACCATAGAAATAGCTTTCTGAAAATTTAGAGTTTGAAATGTAATCCATCTCTTCTTTATACAATTCAGTCTTATGTTTATCTAGTAACTTTTTAATCAATGTACTTGTTTGTTTGTCCATTTTTTAATCTGTCACCTCATAAAACATTTCATCTTGTAACATATTCAAAATTTTATCTCGGTAATACTCACGGTCCATGATTACAATGAAATTGTCACAGATATCTTTTCTAAAGACACCGATACACATATGTATTTAAATTTTTACTCAAATCATCCAAAACATGTAAAATTAAATATACCTTTTAATCTAGCATCAAGAATAATTACCATTACAAGTACAGAACTATTACGCAATAAAAGATTGGAAGAATTAAAAGTGTATTTAAAAAAGCAGCAATATCCGGAACAAGTGATAGATAACGGAATTCAAAAGGCACTGATAAAAGGACCAATCATTACAGAATCACGGTGATCCGAAACAACCGAAGAATCATCAAACAGTTTAGACAAAATTATCCCGTTTGTCACAACATATAACCCACGAGATTATGATATATTTAGTTTCATGCGACAAATTGAAAATAATTTACACAAAAGTGAAAAAATGGACAAAGTATTACAAAAAAAGAAGATTATCAACAGTAAAAGACAGTCAACAAGTCTAAAACGATATTTAACATCTTCAAAATTCGACTTTAATGAAACTTTGCCTATTGTTAGAAAATATACCGATAAACGATGTATGACATGTCCAGATTTAATAGAAGAAAGTTCAATCTATTTCAAAAATGGAAAGCATTTCACAGTTAAACAAAATATGTCTTGTAAAAGTTCAAACGTCATTTATTCTCTCATATGTGCAAATTGTGAGGAATTCTATATTGGAGAGACAAAAACAGAACTGCGGACTAGAATGACTGTACATAGACAGCAAACCAACCATGAAGATTTAACAATCATCAGGGCTAACGACCATTTCCATCGTTTTTCTAATGGACGATTTAAAATATTTCCGTTGTATATGGTCAATCGTCAAAATGATTTTCTCCGGAAGAAGAAAGAAGAATTAACCATAAACATTCTCAACCCGGGATTAAATGATAAATACTATTTTAATTTTTACGAAACATTTTAAAGACTTTACTCCAATTTTAAAATGACATAAGTAGTCTCCCTTGTATTTGTTAACGTCATACTATTGTTAACGTCAATCAATTGTTTTATAACATTTATGTATACAAGTCACATTACCTGAAGATCTGTGAAAGCAGTGAAAGCGCTAGTAAAAGTGATGAATTGAAACCGTCATTATCTTATATTATTTTTCTTATATATATATATATATATATATATATATAAACTAATTTCACAATTGAATACAGTCAAGTTAATATAAGGTTTGGGAGTCTTTTAACTTTTATGATATTGAAAGTTTTGTGTTAAATCTAAAAGTTTTTTATTGCTTTGTTTTGATGTAAAAATGTTGCTTATCTAATCATTCACCGATTGCCCTGAAACCGCTATATTTAATGTATCTTTCATTTTAGGATATGGTAACCCCAGAAGAAATGGCCATCGCAAACAAACGAACAGAGAAAAAAATCTTTAATTTTATTTCCGCTATAAAGTGGGCTTCCGAAAAGAATTCGAAAAACGAAATAGAGATAACTGGATCAAGTTCAATCAGTAAACCAGTAGCCTGCTGTAGCGTTCAAGGATCAGGGTTAAAAGCAGGAGTAGTTGGACGCAAGACGAAGTTTACTGTGACCATCTCAAATGTATTTGGTATGTTCGATTTGTATTTACAACTAAAAGGTCCAAGAAATGAGGTATACAGTGAAAAAATTGTAAGTCTACATCAATCCAGCGAAACTATACTAAACAATAAAAATAAAGTCGTTAAACGTTTAAATCCAGACCAAAAAGTACCTGCAGGAGACACCAAAGTATTGGCCTATTTAGAGGATTGTCATGGCAATACTTATGTTAGATGGAAAAATATAACACAATACGGTGGTCATGCTGTATATAACGCATTTGATTTTAATTGCACATGCAGTAATGAAGGTTGTTTTGCAATGTCTTTTACACCCGTATCAGCAGGAATTCATACCTTGTCACTTCGATGGCAGGAAAAACATGTAGAAGGCTCTCCATTCAAAGTAAAAGTTTATAAACTTAGTGACGTCAATAGACGTGGAATATCAGAGACAACCGGAAAACGTCTTTTATTTGATTCACTCTCAATGTCGTTTGATGGAAATAACTTACAGGAGCAGAATTGTACTCCAGATAAAAGAAAAATACGAAACGACAATATAAGTAATTCAGAAACAATTTCTGCATCCCAACAACGCATCCGTAAACAATATACTATAACAAAGCGTAGGATTTTGAAGAAAGTCATAGCACGAAATGGAGAAGAAATTATTATCACTGAGAGTCAAACTCCACCTCTTTCCCGCCAAAGTAGTTTAACAGATATCTCTGATTATACAGATGAAGATGGTACTAGTAGTCCATATCCAAGAACAACTCATTCTTCTAGGTCATCCAGTCCTGCTCTACTACGCGCAGCGAAGGACATATCTAGTCTGAGACGCCAAAGGTCAAGATCGTCTAGTCCGAACATGGAAAAACGAAAAATGAATCTGGAACCAACGATGGCAAGAATTACTGAGAAAACCGCACTCAACGATGTTCCCAGGACGGAATCGTCACAAACATTGACTTCTATGACCACTACAGATCACGAAAGTAATTCTACCGGAAGTAACAAAAGACCATTTGCAGGTTTTGGCAATAAAATAAGTCAGAAATTTCTTGATTCGTGTCTACAAAGCTTGTCTAAGCGGGAATATGGAATTACACGTCAAAATTCAGATAGTGCTATTCCTAAGTTAGGAAATACAGAAAACAAACTACCGGGTGTAAATAAAAGACTGTCAAATGTAGTTGTACTTAATCGTTCGTTATCAGAAACAAGCCTAGAAGACAAAGTACTGAAAAAGTTGTTTGTGTGTGCGCATGGTAATATCATGTCACGTGATCAAGAATCACATGAACCTGACAATGGAAGTCCGAAAGCTTCCCCGAATCTTAAAATGTTACAGTCTAGTAGTTTACGGAAAGCATGTTTTTACATAAGCGGAAAAGCTATCACCACATCTCAGAGCTTGGTTTCCTGCAGTAGTATATCGGATTCGATGTCTGGGTCGCGACAAGAATTAATGTCTGAAGTTAACTTACCACACAATTTTATGCGGAATGTAGGATCTAAATGTTTACTTATGAAAGATGAAGATTATACATTACGGCACACTGACACATGTGAAAATGACAATTCACACTCACATACTGATATTAAGGATTCGATGAATTTGACCCTTTCTAACGAAGGAGGAGCACCAAACAACGAGCGCGATTACCAGAAAAATTGTTCAAATTTACAAATATTTCCTAAAGATTTCACAGAAAAAAAGAATAAAGAAATGAAACCTCTAAAAAAATTGAATATAAAAGAAACCTCAGAAAAATTTGATGTTGAAAGCTGGCTTCAAAATTCACCTCTTAATGAGCACGACAAATTTGAAATGTATGACGACGAACAAAGTGCAATCAAACCTGATGCGTCATCCTGTATGGTTTCAATCTCTCGACCGATATATTCTTTTCCGGTTTCACAGACTAATGATCGTGATAAACAGTCTACAGACGAATATTCGGTTCAAGCTGCATTAATGAGGATTGAATCTTCAGATGAGTTTACAACTCCTCGTAGTACAGCAGGAAAATTCTCAGCACGACGAACAAGGAGTAATGATACAGATAAAAAGGAAAATGCCTATTTTCGAAGAACATTTAGCAGTGACTCAAAACGAGGAAATTTACAAAAACAGTCCTCTGTGTTTCCAGATGCAGACAATGACCCTTCGTTGGATGATGTAAGTAGCCTCATATCAAATGATTGTCACAGTATAAGCTTATCCACATCGACAAATATTCATAAAGACGAAATAGAAGGTACACATATTCGAAACACCGATTCCACAACATACGATTTGTGTAATACAGACAATAGCAGTGAAAAGGAAAATTTTGAAATGCGCAATGATCACTCATCAGTATTTCGGACTATCTCTGATGAGACCAAACTAATCAAACCGTTCGAAACTCGAGTTGCTATTGTAGTACCAAGAGTTAAATGTGACAAGGGTACAGTTGTTTACGCCAATGATATTGTAAAGGAGACAAAATGGGATGTTGCCTTTGATTACTATAACATATTTCGCCGTAGAATGTGCATGAGGATGGCAGAGACGAACGAACCTATTAACAATGATGAGGAATTTATACCATGCAACAATCTCTCGAATAGAGGGCGAAGTTTCTCGGTATTTGATTCACGTAGTAGGGACAAGAATGTACATGCGTGGATAGAGAAACATCCTCAACTTCGAATTAATGCACCGTTTCGACAATCTACCATAGAAACCACAGACAGTGGCGTTGATGACGATAACGGTATTCTGTCAGGACGACGAGCATCTCTGTACAGCAACTTCCGGTTCACTGGAGATAATCAACATCAAATTCTTTGCAGACGTCCATATAAAGGAAAGATTCCCCTTGATCCAAAACTGATTCAAAGTAGTAGTAATACAAATGTATATGATCGAGAGACCGATACGTATGGTAATGATCATGACGAAGACCAAAGAAACTCTGCGGAGGAAATGTGCAAACATCAACCCCATGCAAATGAGGATCACATGATTTTAAATCGACAATGTTCTAATGAGAAATCAAAGCGATATGACGTAGAGCGAAATGTCATCATTGATGCTGTGAAGTTGAAATTAAAAACAAATGAAAACGGTTCACACAGTAACTTTGTCGATACAAACGATAGTGTGTCATATGATGATAAAACTATACACAACATGACTTTTTCGCGCAGTGATGAAGTAAATTCGGAAGAAACAATACAACGCGCACACGCGGAATATCTTGCAAATATCAATTCAAATCTGACATTATCTAAAATTGCAATACAAACGAAATCAACATCTTCTTCTATCAGTGTGGACGATCCTTACTATGGATTTGGTGTTACTAGAGACAATAGAACAGATTTATTATCTCATTTGAACGACTTCAAAAATTTAAATTTGAAAAACCCCCAAAAGCAGCGAGAAGAACTTGACATCGATGCCTTGCAAAAAATGAAAATTTCAGATGAAGTATTTACTAATGAATCATGTAGGTCATTCTCTCCGAAAAGTGAACACTCCAGCCGCAGTCAATGTATATCTTCGTCTGAAGATCTTTCGGAAGTCAGCAATTATAGTTCGTCTATGGCAATTTCGAAAAGATTCACCAGCACGTTGGAACGCCCATTTTATCTTCAAATTAATGACGTCATTGTAATGGAACGTAACTCGATAGCACCCTTTGCGCATGACGAAATATTTTGTAGCGACGGTGAAAACGAGGCATTTTCGTCTTCTGTTTCGACAGAAGATGATGATTTTGTATGCAAGGCGGATGGCATTGGACTAGTTGAAGGACATGTTGGAATGAAAAATAACTTCCAGGTAAGAATCTTATGTGTAGGCACGAATTATTTGTGTAGTTCCCTCTGGTAAACAGGTTTATTAAGAATATTTCATATTAAATTTAGTTCTGCGGAAATTACAACACAGCTTAGATTTTCAGTTATATCTGGTTTCAATCAAAGTCTCGCTTGATTCTATTGAAAGTTTTGTGAATAAAAAAATAAGAAGATATGGTATGATTGCCAATGAGACAACTCTCCACAAGAGACCAAATGACACAGAAGCCTTTTAAATTCCATCGAAAGATATGGCACAAGAATATGCCATATTTTGCTTAGTTTCTTTTGGTATCTATTATAACTTCGAACTCGGACTTCTTTTAAAAAGAGTTTTCCTGCGCGTATTGCTGTGTGTTTGTTTATTCTACATTGGCTGAATTTGTACACATTTTTGTTTAGGGGCCAGCTGAAGTTCGCTTCCGGGCGTGGGATTTTCGCGCTGTATTGAAGACCCATTGGTGGCTTTGGGCTCTTTGGTAGGGTTGTTGTCTCTTTGACACATTCCCCGTTTCCTTTCTCAATTTTATGCACTATCTTTTGAAAAACAATGTTTACGAAATAGTTTAAACCGTTTGATGATCCAGCCCTAAGACCCGCTTTCTTCGAACAATTACATTTTTATATCATGAAAAAAGTGAAGAAAACCAGCCTTGAACCCTACCTTACACCGAAGGTGGATCGACCTAGACCGCTTTTTAATTCTTTTTATCGTCGCATTTACGAGACAAACCACGTTTAAAATTCGACAGAATTTTTTAAGTCATATTTTCTATTCTGGTTCCTACTACCAAGGTGCTATTGAACGCTTTTAGAATGCCAATAATCAATTGATCAAAACTTGTGAAATAGCTTATTTTATACTGTATCTTTACCATAAATAATTATTCACCATTCAGCATGCAAAAAATCCATACCATATAGTCAGCTATAAAAGATTCCAATATGCAAAATGTAAATCAATTTAAACGAAAACACCAACGGCCTGATTTAGGACAAAACAATAGACGAAAAACAGATATAACACACATCAACCACCGACAACCACTAAATTGCAGGCTCCTGATTAGGGATAAACACATAGAGAATGTAGCGGGGTTACACATGTTTGTGATCGCTTAATCTTCTCGTACCTGTGACAATGGTGTAACAGCACAACATAAGTACAAATTGTAAACATCAGTTGGAAATGGCTTGACTCTCCAGATCGACACGAAGTACAAACACCAACTAAGACTAAGGCAAAATATACAAAGTACCGAACTAATAATACTCGCAGTCACAAATGTACTGACAATAACCAATGAATCATGTTCTCACAGACTAAAACATCAAAATGTTCACATTTAACGGATTAAGTGTAAAGACGTCATAAACAGTTTGAAAAAGCACGACTTTGTGCAATGCCAATATATAAGTACATGATATCGACAAGATGTAGGAACATAGTTTTAATAGATGTATAGCAATACATATTTAGTGATGCTTTAATTTATCTAACACAAAATCAATGTTAGTACAGATTCAAACCACATTCAAAGATCGTGCTTAATTGATAAATTGGAAACATAGTTCATTAAGTTTACGATTTTTGATACGTTATTCGCTTTCGAATGTTTGGGTTTATGCATTCCTAATGAAAGTTTATCCAAAAGTACTCTGGACGCTCAAAATTTACATAGTCTTATTTTCAGTTGCTGATTGCAGAGATAGCCACTTCCTTTATATGATCTATTGTCAGAAACAAGCGGATATATTGTAAAATTTCTTCCTTTAGGTACACTTTCTTTGGAGTGTTTGGGATATTAGTTTTCCAAATACATTTCTTTCGATTTGTCCAAACTACTTTTCTGACAAAGTGGTCTTAAAAGTATTCTTTTATAAATGTACAGCAAGTCTCTTTCATAAAAAACACATGAAAGATACTGCCTTAACGTATGTCTATCTAAATAAATATTTCCGGAAAATATTTGTTTTTCTAGTGAAAATGTGAGTGATGGTATTTCACCCTACTTTTTTTTGTAAGAACTCTTTGAAATAATATGACATTTGCATGAAAGAGATATAAGGAATGATATTAAAACCAAATGTCAACGATTTTAATCGGTAAATGACCAATCGCACAGGAATCAAAGTTTATTATAGATGATATTATCTGTGTTATAAGCTTTTTGATGTTAAATTAACCCATGTTATCTTCCCTCTTACATGATCAATTTTATATAACTTGGTGTGGTTCAATAGTCACATAACGAGTGATATATTTAGAAAGCAGTACAAAATACTTCATTATTAGTTTATATAATCGTGCCTTCAACGCCTACAAAATTATGGACTGTAATAGCTATACTAATCATATATTTTATCACAAAATCAATATATTATTGAATTTCTAAACTATTGACTTAGATAACATACATCACGACGTGTTTTACAGATGCAATATGTATTCGTCAGTTAGACAGCAAAAAACTATTACCCCAAAAACAGAGTTGTGAATCAACTTAAAAAAGGCCAAATCCACCAATTGTCAACAATGCCTGAAAGATTTGGAACCTAAGTTTTCTTAATCATTTCTAAACGTATAAACAGAGAATTCAAAAATATATCATAAAGCATGTTAGTGCTAAAGCAAAGCTATTTAATCTCGCATTATATATGACAATAACATTTCAGGTTTAGTGTTGGAAGAGGGACCAAGTTTCAAAACCGGCTTTTTTTTAATAATTTACACACAAGCATTTGGTAATACACAACTTTATACTTACACGTACGCAATGGTACAATGAACATTGGTTAGGTTGTTGGACCCTTGTGTATTTTCTGCAGCCATTTTGTTTGACTTTTTTTTTATACTTACAAAGAATATTTGTTTTCTTTTCCAGGTCTGGACAAATGCATTGGATAATGGTTCCCTGTCTGTTAATATCTATGGTCCGAAGTCACACAGTGTAGTAGAAACCTGTGTAGTGTATACGGGAGATAACCTATATGAAGTCATATATGAGGTCAGACATCCGGGCATTTATATCATCTGCGTCAAATGGTCGGATGAAAATGTACAAAATAGTCCATTCACGTGTAGGATTACATATTGACATCGGTGTATTCATTTGTTCGAAGATGATGGTATATACTTTTCCCATATTATTCCACAACTCTCATTGATTATGACTTAACTACCAAGTGCAAGTTAATTGCAGATCCATTTTGTTTAAAATGCCAAAAGTGTGAATAATTGCCACAAAAAGCAAGAGACCCGGATCTGATGGAACATATAATTGTTTGCTCGAATATTTGCTTACAGCTCTTCTATAAAAGCATGCAAAGCAAACCTTTGACCAACTTGCTTGCTATTTTGCTTGGAAGTTTGCAAACAATAGGTAGGCGGAGTTTCAGTCTGTTTTATATATACTGGGATTTGATTGGAAAATAAAAATTGACATGCAATGAAGTTAATTTTATTGTCCAATCAAATTCCATTATATAATAAACAGAGTGAAACAGACTACCTACCTTTTGTTTACAAATATCCAAACAAACATAGCAAGCAAGTTGATCAAAGGTTTGCTTTGCATGCTTTTAAGAAGAGCTGTAACAGTTTTTGATTACAATTAATTTCACATATTAAGATACTATTCAGAATTGAATTTCCATCATGATTTCAATATGAGATGGTGGAATCATTTGTAAATTTCCTGATAAACGATAAAGGATGTCGCTCAATACTCTGTTGTTAAAGGCACTGGAATTGAAAATCAATTATGCTTTATGTATTAAGAAATGATAGCCGTCCTACATCCGTATTTCGTTTATGCTCAGACATATCATAGCCTTATTTGTGACAATCAAAACGACTGTATTTTTTATTGTAATGTACTTCTCGAAATCCTTATTGCATATATATGAATTTTTATTCGTACTCTTATTGCATATATATTTGAATTTTTATTCGTACCATATGAAAGCAGATTCACAGCACATATCGCGCGCACTTAAAGTGAAATTTATATATTGACGTCACGACACTGTTTCATTGACGTATACCCACATATTATTTCATCATACTTATTTTTCATACAGCTAGATGGGTACTACAGCTCATGGTAAGCCAACATCGTCTTTCATCATAATCATATTTTCCCACAGCTAGATGGGTATTACAGCTCGTGGTAAGCCCACATCTTCTTTTTTATCATAATCATATTTCCCACAGCTAGATGGGTACTACAGCTCGTGGTAAGCCCACCTCTTCTTTCATCATAATCATATTTCCTACAGCTAGATGGGTACTACAGCTCGTGGTAAACCCACATCATCTTCTTTCATCATAATCATATTTCCCACAGCTAGATAGGTACTACAGCTCATGGTAAGCCCACATCTTCTTTTATCATACTAGTAATTATTTTTATTGCCCTCATTTGTATTAGCAATGTTTAGCCGCAGTTCCTTTATACCCATTGATAGTCATCCTGTATTGGTCAGCCTCATTAGCGAGTTGGAATGTAGTATACGTAGCGTAAAGCGACACTTTAGCACTGGTTTCTAGGTCAACTCGTAGCATGTACAGGTCATATCTGGTCAGTAAGTAGATGTATTCAAGACCTGTTTGTATAAGAAAAAAGAAAATAACAAAACTACTGAACTCCAAGGAAAATCTAAAGCAGAAAGTCCCTTTTTAAATGGCAAAATCAAACGCTTAAACACATCAAACGAATGGAAACCAACTGTCATAATCCTATTTCTAGTATGTGTATTTAGCATAGACCCAATTAATTACAAGAGTATTATTTTACGTATATTAGACAACATTGACATCCCATGGGGTGACATTTTTATATGTTATGTGCATTGCAACAACATTGACTAATATTTATCATATTGTTTTTGATACCGTTTTTAAATAATCAATGATTAAAGTTCAAACAGTTAATGTCCTAAAAGTAAACCTACAAAATTGAATAAATTGTGAAATTTGCTAATTCCAATCTGCCACTGTCTTACAATAAGAAAAGTCCATCGAGTATTTAAAATGATTATTATTATCTTGATAAAAAAAGTGATGGTATAATAATATGTTAAACCAGATAACCAGTGACTTCAATTTAAGCACACATTATTGTCCGATCCTCCGAACAACAACGGTAGTCATGAAACAGTTCTAGTACTAGTAAGACATTTCTTCATTCAAGTTAACGCTCTTCAACTTAGTACTGTGGATTAATTTATTTTCGTTGGCACCAATTTTCGTGGATTGAGGAAAACTTGGTTTTTCGTGGATATTTGATTTCATGGCTTGTCAAAGTCCACATACAAACCTATAGAGAATTCGTTATTCGTTGAACAATTGAATTCGCACTTTTACCCACGAAATCAACGAAAATTGGTATCCCACGAATAATAATGAATCGACAGTAATTATATTTCCCACAGCTAGATGGGTACTACAGCTCATGGTAAGCCCACATCTTCTTTCATCATAATTATATTTCCACAGCTAGATTGGTATTACAGCTCGCGGTAAGCAACTGAGTAACCCCAGTATTCGATACTGGTATGAATTACATATGAATTCTCTTGGCAGGTGATGCATAAAACGCTTATCCAGTCGACGCACCCGGTCTTGCTCCTTTTGGAGTTCAAGCACGATTCCATTACTTTTGATTTGGTACCTTGAATTGTCTCTTCCTAATCAATTTACGAGATTGGAAAATTTGTTTACTACTGTCACATTAATTAAATCGTACATCTTTATGGAGAAAACTTTCAATTACTAGACTGCAATTGTAATGACCCCCTCAGTAAAAATTTTAACTTCGATGACATTTTTCACGTCGTATTTTTTTTGTTGAAATTATTGTAATGGCAGCATCAATATGTTTTAATTGTTTAGTAAAAGATATCTTGTCATAAAAATCAGTTGTTTTCAATTGCTATATAGAAAAGATAATGTTTGTTTGTGTGCATTCAAATTATTTCAAATGTGATATAATATTGTAAAACAACTTAATTTAATTGCGTTTAACCTTTTCTATCCGTCTTATTTTCGTGGTTTTCACTTTGTTGATCTATTGATATTAGAGCAGTTTGATATATTTGCGACGATTCTTGATTTAAAGTAGAGTATGAGATGTATGTTGAAATATTATAATTTCATTATGAGTATTCACATATTATTTGTTTTGCTATTGTATATGTGCTCAATGAAGTATTCACTCATTCAATAAAATTATTTACAAAATAGTGTGTCTTTTACTAAAATGAAGACAAAACATGTCAAACCATCTTATTTAACTCAAGTTTACCTTAATTATGCTCCATTTTTATCACCACGCGATTATTATTTGAATAGTATTTTTGTACATTATATCATTCTGCTAAAAAGATATTTACTTACAAACGGGTGTACTTGAGACATCCTAAAATTGCATTTGCGCTAATGGACTTTAAAAGGAAATATAAATACGTTTGATCAAATTCCAGAGAACAGAAGTGTATGAACTCGTTAAAGAAACCAGGCTTATATTTGATACGTCAGAAGCGCGTTTCGTCTCCAGAAGACTCAGCAGTGGCGCTCGAATCAAAACACAACGCCATGGCAAATATCCGTAAACTGACCAAAGGACAAAAACCAGTATTTAAAACACAACATAGAAAACTATACTGAACAATACGAACCTAACCAAATAAACTGTGGAAACAGAGATATTTCTCGCCTGTCGGCATAAAATTCAGAAAAAAGACAAACTGATGGACATCAACATTGCTAAATAATTCAAAGTCGCTGGACCATGAACTAGTGGGCAGGGCCTCGAAATGGTTAAAAAACTGAGATGTAAAGACATCAATGTAACTTTATAGAAAATATCGTTGTCTATTGTAAGTAGTTCCTATGAAACTTACTTAAGCAGACAACTTAACACTGAAAACTGTTAATCACTTGAAAGTCACTGGGACTCGAAACAGTTGTCAAACTGATATGTACTGATTGTAATGAAACTTTAAAGAAAATATCATTAATCTATCACAAGTAGTTCCTATCAAACTGATTTAAGCAGAAAAATGCTAATTAATTCAAAGTGTCCGGACCCGGCCAAAACCTAGGGAGCAGGATTTTGAAATAGTCGCCAAAATGATATATATATATATATATATATATATATATATATATAACTCGTCTAAACATCAGCCCAACCATGTTAGATCTGTAAATTTGCTTTCGCAAATTTTTTGTTCTTTCCTCGCCGGGATTCGAACTCATGCTACTGAGATATCGTGACACCAAATCGCCTGCACTGTATCCGACGCGCTAGACCACACGACCACCTAGGCTTCAATAATAAAGCTTTCGGTGGCCGGGTGTTACCTTTCCTCGTCAGTTTTAATCTAGCGTCGTGATACAGTACATGATATATAAGGCATGAAGATGGAATTGTTACAGATCAGCTGAAATATCTTTTGTAAAGGATCCTACAAATTAATGCAAGATACAGTCACAGAAATAATTATATTTATAAGTACGTCTGAACCAGTGACAACTCTACAACAGATTTATCCATCGGATCACCAGCAGTGATGGTGATACATGGCTGTGTACATTCTGTATATACAACTCGTCTAAACATCATCCCAACAATGTTAGATCTGTAAATTTGCTTTCGCAAATTTTTTGTTCTTCCCTCACCGGGATTCGAACTCATGCTACTGAGATATCGTGACACCTAATCGCCTGCACTGTATCCGACGCGCTAGACCACACGACCACCTAGGCTTCAATAATAAAGCTTTCGGTGGCCGGGTGTTACCTTTCCTCGTCAGTTTTAATCTAGTGTCGTAATACAGTACATGATATATAAGGCATGACGATGGAATTGTTACAGATCAGCTGAAATATCTATTGTAAAGGATCCTACAAATTAATGCAAGATACAGTCACAGAAATAATTATATTTATAAGTACGTCTGAACCAGTGACAACTCTACAACAGATTTATCCATCGGATCACAAGCAGTGATGGTGATCCATGGCTGTGTACATTTTGTATATACAACTCGTCTAAACATCATCCCAACAATGTTAGATCTGTAAATTTGCTTTCGCAAATTTTTTGTTCTTCCCTCGCCGAGATTCGAACTCATGCTACTGAGATATCGTGACACCAAATCGCCTGCACTGTATCCGACGCGCTAGACCACACGACCACCTAGGCTTCAATAATTAAGCTTTCGGTTGCCGGGTGTTACCTTTCCTCGTCAGTTTTAATCTAGCGTCGTAATACAGTACATGATATATAAGGCATGAAGATGGAATTGTTACAGATCAGCTGAAATATCTATTGTAAAGGATCCTACAAATTAATGCAAGATACAGTCACAGAAATAATTATATTTATAAGTACGTCTGAACCAGTGACAACTCTACAACAGATTTATCCATCGGATCACCAGCAGTGATGGTGATCCATGGCTGTGTACATTCTGTATATACAACTCGTCTAAACATCATCGCAAATTTGTTGTTCTTCCCTCGCCGGGATTCGAACT